CACTGGCTAGTTGACTTTTAATACTTCCTAATTAGTCAGAAAACAAAGAAGCATTACTATAGTTCATATTCTATCACATCTGTAAATATTTTTCCTGTCCTTATTAGATGACCCATTCCATAGCAAACGGCTCTTTCTAAAGAGCTTTAAGCCAGACCACAAAGAGGAAGAATCCATCATGGCCTACGACTCCCCATCCCTAGGGCCAGGGCATGTCAACCCACTTACCCTTCCAATGAAGAGTTGCCTCTAAGCCTCAGTCTCGAATGACAGCCTGGAAGATAGCAGTTTCTGTCCCTCCCAGCTATCGTCTGCCTTCTACGTGGGACTTAGTCAAGGCCTCTGTAACCCACATAGTGCAGGAGCAGCTGTTCAAAAATCAAACTCCACTCCTTGGGGCTGAGTCACCCCAAGTTGTCCCAAACAGAGATGGGTCCAATATTCTCAATACCTATTTTTGCTTTTGGTCTTATTGCAAAGAGGTTACATGCTGGTATTCATCGTTGCTGTAGCAAAATACCTGACAGGAACAACTTAAGAAGGATAAAAGGTTTATTTCCACTTCTAGAAGGTTTTATGCAAGATCATTTAACTCTGTGGTTCTGAGCCTGGAGTGAGGCAGCAGATCACCACTTCAGGAGCTTGTGGCAGAAACTGCTCACAGGCCAGGAAACCAGAACTGGGAAGGTAGTATAACCCTCAAAGGTATGGACCCTAGTGACCTACTTCCTCCACTCACCAGTTGCCAGAAAAAATCATGCCACAAGATTTCAAAATAAGAACCTGTCAAGTCAGCAAGATCCCAGCATGGATGAGGGAGGGGCTCATGAAATCCCATCCTTGACTGAGAAGCTATTGGCAAGTGATGGCTACTCGGGGAGGGAGAGTCAGCTTACTTTGGGGTTTAAAAACAAAAAGAAGAGGGGCTGGAGAGACATCTCAGTGGTTAAGAGCACTGACTACTCTTGCAGAGGACCCAGGTTCAATTCCCAGAGCCCACATGGTGGCTGACAACTGTCGGACACTCCAATTGCAAGGGACCCAACACCCTCTTCTGACCTCTGCGGGCATTGCACAACATGGGTGCATTTACATACATGCGGCCAATACACTCATACACATAAAATAAAAATAGCAAATAAAATATTTTTTAAAAAGAAGAGCATGCAGGGCGTGGTGGTGCACACCTTTAATCCCAGCACTCGGGAGGCAGACGCAGGCGGATCTCTGTGAGTTCGAGGCCAGCCTGGTCTACACAGTGAGTTCCAGGACAGCTGGGGATACAAGGAAACCCTGTCTCAAAAAAGACAAAAAAAAAGAAGAGCAAATTAACTTGGGAGGGGAAAGTGATGGGAGGAATGGGGAGAAGCTGAATGGGGAGGGTTAGGGTGTAGGTTTGATCGAAACACATTGTATACACATAGAAAATTCTCAAACAATAAAAATCTGAACCTGAGAGAGGGTGCATTTCATACTCAGTTCGTAACAGTGCTCACTGGCACACTCACAGAAACTCCGAATAGTACAAAGAAAGCACTTCCAAATAATATCTGGTTCCAGTCTTTTCTCTAGAAATTAATTACAGAGATGATATTTTAAATGATTTTCAGATACATGACCAATGTCTATAAACCATGGTTTATGAAGCACAGAGATTGATGTTTTAGGAGGCAGACATATCTCACTAGAAATGTAGTTCCTAAATTGTGTTCCCAGGGGCTGGAGAGATGACTCAGTGGTTAAGAGCACCAGCCACTCCTACAGAGGACCTGGATTCAGTTCCCGCACCCACATAGCAACAAACAACCATCCGTAGCTCCAGTTCCAGGGCATCCAACACTCTCTTCTGACATCTGCAAGCTGACAACTGTCCATGACAACTGTCCTTTGGCATTGCATGACAAAGGTATACTTACATTGTTTTAAAATATTTTTTTCATGTGTGCCAAGGTCATGGGGCATCATGATGACCTCAAAGTGCATGACCATCTGTTTTAAATTTCTGAAAGAAACATCAACACCTGGTGGACACCACACAAACTGCTTCTATCAAGTTATTTGGACCTAGAACCGTGGGCATGAAAGGATTTCACCCGTGATCATTAATCTTCATAGTCAACTCGACCCAGAGACACATCTCTGGACATGTCTATCAAGGCATTTCCAGGTAAGTTTAACTGAAAAAGGAGCCACCCTGAATGTGGATGGTACCATGCCATGCATTGGAGTCCTGGGCTAAATAAAGAGGAGAAAGTGACTTGAACACCGACATTCATATACTGACTGGAGATCCACACTCTTTACCCACCATGATGAACGGCGCCCACAAACCACAAGCCAAAATAAACCCTTCTTTCTTCAATTTGCTGTCACCATGCATTTTATTACAGCAGTGCTTGGAGTCGCCACTGCACCATCTTTTTCCCTGTCCATGGTGATTCCCCTACCACTCACCTTGTCACCGTCTTAAAGAGGAGCAGAACAACGGGGCACAGAGTCCCCCTTACGCTGCACTTCCCAGACTGAACTAGAACTTAGGGCTTTTATTCTCCATTGAGGCTTTGGGAAGACAGATCAGCCTGAGAAATTAAGTCATGTATTTCTTTTTTAAAAAATACCTATTTTCGTTTTAGTTATGTGTCTGTGTGTGTGTATGCACACATGAGTGAAGTGCCCACAGAGGCCAGAAGAGAGCATCAGATCCCCTGGAGCTGGAGTTGCAGGCAGTTGTGAGCCATCCAATGTGGGTCTTGGGAACCAAACTCCAGTACTCTTGAAGAACAGCAAGGGCTCTTAACCAATGAGTCATCTGTCTGACCCCAAGTCATGAGCTTCTTACACGTTTGAGTACGTTAGTAAACCTGCAACCTCATCCCACACAGATTATTTTTTACAAAATAAGATCATGTTATTTGTACTACTTTACATGTTTTGTTTCCTTATAAATACAAACTTTTTCTCTGCTAATATTCATTAAATATTTTCACAGTCTCCCATTGTATATGAAAAGCATGGATCTCTCAGCCTGACCTTCCTGTTCACTGCAAAAATTTGAATTCTATTGACTCCAACACCCATCTGCTGTTACTATCATTTTTAACTTAATACTTGAGTGGTTTCCAGGTTTGTATATTAAAAACAATGTCATGATAGCTGGTTAAATTACATATGCTTTTACATTTAGACAGCAATTCTACTTCTAGGAATTGAACACAAAGATGCCATAGGAAAATGGTTACCACTAGAGATAATCATACTAAGCAAATTAAGACAATACCAGAGACAAATATATTTTCTCTTTCATTCGTGGTTCCTGGATTTTATATAGCTAGGTAAAATAATGTATGCACATATAAAATGGAAGTGGTAACAAAACCATCTAGGCCAGGCATGGTGGGGCACACCTTTAATCCCAGCACTGGGAAGGCAGAGGCAGGTATATCTCAGAGCTCGGGGCCAGGCTGGTCTCCATAGTGAGTTCTGGGTGAGCCAGGGCTACAGTGTGAGAACCTGTCTCAAAAAAGAAAAAACAAAGGAAAGAAAGAAAAGAAATTAAATGGAACTATCCAGTAGAACAACAGGGACAAATGGGAGGAGGGGAGACAAGAGAAGATAACAGGGGACATGTTCAACATACAATACACACCTGTACGTTTTACAGAAATAAACATATTTCTGGTGGAAAAAAGATACCATGGCAAAACTACAGAATAATGGATGCAAATGCTTTTCACTGCAGTGCTGTTTGGACTAGAAAAGAAAAACTAGAAATAAGTAACCCATGTGTCTTTACACGATGACCTAGTTGAATAGATTGTTGCACATCCAAAACTGTGCCTCATCTCGCAGCCTTAGTAAGGAGCAGAAATATGTCTGTGAACTGATATGGAGTCACCTTCGGGATGTAATGTTAAGCAAAAACGAAGGGAAGAAAATGTCTTTTATATGTAAAATTTTATTAGTTGAGATTTTCACACATGCATAAAATGTATTTTAACTATATGCACCTCCCACTCCTCTTCCTAACTCCTTCCATGCCCCCCACCCTGCCCCATCCCCTCTCAACTTTGTGTTCTCTCTTTTCTTTTTTTCTTAACCCACCAAATCCAATTTGTGCTGCCCACATACTCATGGATGTGGGACCACCCATCGAAACATAGTTGATCTACCAGAGGCCACACCCTTAAGAAAAAATAACTCTCCCTCCCTCAGAAGCCATCAACTGTCAATAGCTCCCCAGCCAGGGCTGGAGGCTCCTGAGCCCCTCCCTGGTCCATGCTAGAATGTTGACTGACTTGGTCTTGTGCAAGTCTTGTGCAGGCCACCACAGCTGCTCTGAGTTCATGAGGGTGGCAGTCCTGTCAAAAGACACTGTTTTGCTCCAGTCCGCTGACAGTCTTTCCACCCCCTCTTCTGCAATGGTCCCTGAGCCTTGGGGGGAGGACCCACAGTATATGCCCTGTTTATGACTAGGCACTCCACAGACACTTACTTTCTAGTTGTGAGTGTCTGCATTCGTTTCTATGGTATTACTGAAGGAAGGGATGCATTCACATACAAACAGTGGCTATCATATGGTTCAGTTTGATTTTTGACTTGATTCGGATAATAAATGTCTAAGAGGTTAGTGGCGTGCACTTCTGGGTGTGTCTATGGTGGCCGTCTGGAGACAATTGGGTCCTGAGGACTCTGACCTAACCAGCAGATTAATCCTTGGGTGGAGTCATCATATGCTGGCATTCTTAGAAGATGGTAAAAGTCAGAAGTCCGAGCCTAGTTGGAGGAAGTAGGGCCTTGGACTGTGTCCATGGAGCTGTATCTTTCTCTGGCTTCCTCCTGTATTACTGCCTTTTCTCTGTTTCCTGTCCATCAAGAAGGTAAGTGTCCCCTCCCCCACATACTCCCACCCCGAATGACTGAACTTTCTGAGGCTGTGAGTTCAAATAAATCTTTACTTAAGTTGTTTTTGTCGGGTCATGGCAGTGAGAAAGTGACTGATAAAGTTATTTAAGGTTTTTTTTTATTAAAGACAAGCAAAACTTAAAAAAATAACTACAATGCAGGAGAAGATCGAATAAAGTAAGTATGGATAGAAGCTGAACTTCCCTTAATACAATGTTGTTTCAGATTTAAGTTTGAACCCATGAGGTATTTCATGTCATCATCAAGCAAAATTTGCTTTTTGACCTGCCATAGGAAGATGGAGTAAACAACGATCTCATCAATTTTTCCTGATCAGCACAACTAAAGTTCCTGGATATCTGCGCTGGTTTTTTTGAGTCGGCTTGACACAAACTAGCATCCCTGGGAGGGGGGAGCTTCAACCGAGGAATTTCCTCCATCAAATGACCTATGGGCATGTCTGTAGGGCATTTTCTTGATTGCTAGTTGATGTAGGAGGCCCCAGCCCACTGTGGGCAGTGCCACCCCTGGGTAGGTGGGCCTGGGCTGTATTTTTAAAAAAGTAACCGAGCAAGGCAATAGGCAGCATCCTTCCATGGTTTCTGCTTCGGCTCCTGTCTCCAGGCTCTTGCCTTGCATTTCTGCTCTGCCTTCCCTCAATGATAGCCTGTCACTTGGAAGTGTAAGATGCAATAAACCCTTTCCTTCCCAAATTGTCTTTGGTCAGAGTGTTTTATCACTAGAGGAAGAAAACTAAAACAATATCATTTATAAAACAGACAACAAGAATTCTCAGAAAGATTACAGTAGACTAACTAAGACTCCATTATCCACAGGATGGCATGGTGGTGAGTTCTTCCATTTTCTTTCAAAGAAAGTCCCAACAAAAGCCTCTTCTCTCTAGTCAAAGGAGAAGGCAAACAGAAGCCTAGCAGGTTAGAACACATAGATAATAATCACTGGACCCCAGTCAGCACAAGTCCCATTCACACCCACAACCGACAAGAGCCAGAGAGTCCAGACTTCTACTTACGATGCTATGACTAAGAGCCCCACATCCCCGCTGTGGTGATGCAAGAGAAGGCCAACGGTGGGACTTGATCCCCACTTAGGTTTTCTCCTCCAACAATGCCAGTGGAAGGGTAGTAAGGATCCAACGTTCTCCATGGTGTCAAAAGAATCCGGAGGTAGAGTATATCAGATAAAATAGACCAGAAAAAAGAAAATTACTATCTACGAAGAGAGACAACAAAAGAACCAAAAGGTTAATTCTTAAAGAAGTCAATTCAGTCCTAAACACATCTACCAAATAACAGCGTTCCAAAATATACCAAGCCAAGACAGTAAGGCAGCCTCTCGTCCCTTACTGAAGCAATGTAAGAAAACTACCTAGAGGCTGGGGAGATGGCTCAATGGGTAAAGTGTTTGCTGTGCAAAAATGAGGACTTGAGCTCAGATCCCTATGTTTTCGTAAAAAATGTGATCATGGTGATGCTCACCTGTAATCCTAGCCCTGGTGGCTCAAAGTCCAGCCAGTCTAGCCAATCGATGAGCTCAGATTCAGGGAGCCACTTTGTCTCAAAAAATAAGGTGAAGAATGACCAGGGAAAGCACATTGTTGACCTTTGGCCTGCACATGCACAGTTACAGGCACATGTCGCCACAAGCATACACACACACACACACACACACACACACAAACACACTATCCTAGTTTGTTTCTTCATTGCTGTGACAAAATACTCTGATCAATACCAACTTGGGAAGGAAAGGGTTTATTCAGCTTACATCTCCCAGGTCACAGTTCATCAGGGAGCCCAAGGTAGGAACTCAGGGCAAGAACCTGGAGGCAGGAGCTAGAGCACAGGCCATGGAGGAACTCTGCTTACTGGCTTGCTCCCCTGGCCCTTGCTCAGCCTGCTTTCTTATGCAACACAGGCCCACCTGGCCAGTGGTGGCACCATCCACAGTGGGCTGGGCCCTCCCACATCACTCTTCAAGAAGATGCCCTTCAGACATGGCCACAGGCCAGTCCAATAGAGGCAACTCCTCAACTGAGGCTCCTTCAACCCAGGTGTGTCAAGTTGACACTAAAGCTATCCAGCACACACACACACACACACACATACACACACACACACCACACCACACCCACAGGGAGAGACAGACAGACAGCAGCAGAGACAGAAAGAACACTAACACACAAGGTTTAAATAAGATGCAGAGTCTCACAACATAGTATGGGTTCCCAGGTTTCAAAAGAAGATATCATTTAAATAAATAAGACATACATATGCTAACACCAATATGACCACAATATTAAAATTACCTGACAAGGATTTTAAAGCAGACATCATAAAAATGCTCCATGAGCAATTACAAACACACTTGAAATAAATGAAGAAAAGTCTCAATAACAGGAAAAAATTAAGATAAAAGAAAAACCAAATGGAAATTCTATGACTCAAAGATACAATAACCAAATTTTTTTTAAGTTCAGTGTGCAAGTTTAAGAATAAAAGGGACAGAAAATATTCAGCGAGCTGGAAGGAGAACAATAGAAATGATTCAACCATAACAAGAAAGACAAAAAGTGGGCTGTAAAAAAATAGCAGGGCCTCAGGGACCTGGGAGAATGTCCAACCCTCATTTCACCAAGGTGTGGAATGAAAGAAGAAAGAAAATGAGGCTAGAATGTCCATTACAAAGCACTGGCTGAAAACGTCTCAGATGTCTCCAGAGATACAAACTTCAAGGAGTTCAATTTATCCAAACAGGAAAAATACAAAACTCCCATGCACAGACACATTGAACTTCTGAAAATTAAAGACAAAAATAAATTCTTTTTTAAAAAAACAAGGTCCTATATAGTTCAGGCTGACCTCAAAGGTGCTATGTAGCTAAGGCTAGCCTTGAACTGCTGATCTTCCTGCCTATACCTCCCAAACGCTGGGATTACAGACATGTGACACCACACCCAGGGTTAAAAAGATAAATTCTTGAAAGCATTTGAAGACAAATTTCATGTTAATATAGAAAAAGTGTAGCTGGAATAATGGTAGATTTCTTATCTGATATGGAAGACAGAAGAAGGCCCCAGATGTTTCTCGAGTGCTAAAAGAATTACCTCCCTAAAATCCTATACCCAGCAAAACTGGCCTTCAGAGATTAAGAAACCAAGACATTTTCCAATGAAGAAAAACTAAGATCATGTCTTCCCCATACATCCACTCTAAAAGGATGTATGAAGGAAGTTTTCTAAACAGGATGTTTGGAAAAAATGAGAACATTAGAAAGGAAAAACGAGTATAATGAGGATAAGTATGGTAAATACGACAGTATCCTCTTCTCTTGACTTGACCAATTATGTTTGATGGATCACCGAAGCAAAAATTTAAATACTTTTATGTGGTCCTAAGTATAAGTATATAAAACATTTAAGATAGTGACGTTAAAGCAGCAAGATAAAGGTCCTTAAATGGATATAATGCTTCTGCTCTCCAAACTGGTGACATGATAGCCCCAGACCTCTGATAAATCATGTAAAAATAATGTAATACACAGAATAAGCACTAAATGTATACAAAAAAGATACACGCAAAATAGTACAAATAAATGGAAAACAGAATTCTACAGAACATTCCAGTAACTCACCAGATACAGGGAAAAGAAGCCACAAAAGGAAAGATGGCAGAATTAATCTCAAGCATGTCAATAATTATATCAATTGCAAATGTTCTGAATATGTCAATTAAAGGCTATGCTCAGGCCTAAACAAAACACCCATATCATCCCACCTAAGGTTCAAAGAACATTGCAGAAGGGATGGGAAGATGAAAGAGCCAGAAACATGGGGAAGGGCTGCAAACTGCCTTCTCCTGGGCAAGACATATGCAGTGCAATCAAGAACTCACAGCAGCTGAGATGCCTAGACTGGGTCTGCACAGGATGGGCCCATCAACAGTCAGACACAGACGGAGGAGAGACTCGGGCAGCCCTCCCACTTACTGCCATACTATTTGCTACCGATACATTCAGGCAGATGAGGAACCATTTCCTTCAGTTGGTGCCCACTGATGGCCCCACCAGGCTCCAATGGATATTTCCAAACCAGTGCTCACACAGATGGCCCTGGTTAAATGGAATGGGTCACAAAATCAAAGTTCTTGGATCTAGAAAGGGGACTGTTAGTGATGGAAGGATTGACAAGAAGGAGGAGAGAGTGATCAGATTATATTGTGTACACATGTGAAATTGTCAGCTAACAAAATTAGTCAAGAAAAAAAAAGATACGGCAGGGATGGGTTTAAAAATATGATTGAGGTGACAGTGCCAAATCCTACCACTTTGGGTAACCTCTTCAGAGGATGGTGTGATGAGAATAGGAGGTAGGAATTGGCTAGGCAGTTAGGGTAAAAAGACCCCAAAGGAAAGTAGCCAGTTTCTTGGCTAAAAGTCAAAATGTCCTTGGGGCCTGTTAGCAACATACTCCATTCCAAAGGCCAAAAATGACAAAAGTATTTGGGAACTCTTATCTAATCCCTAAAAGATTTTAGGGTTACCTCTTCAGAGGGGTAATCTTAGAGTAGCAAAAAGCCCCATTTACAAAGAAAGAAAGAAGAAAAGAAAGCAAAAAGAAAGAAAGAAAAGA